AAACATACTGCTATTCGAAAACAATATTTGTTTAGGCGTTGTTTTATATTATAGAAGTTATTAATCAGCAATTACTTCATTTCTCTAATGAAGGTTCATTTCTAAATGCTAATTACAATGACAAACCGATCATGTCATATTTGAAGTATGACTTTAATTACATTATTGTTTTTAAATATTATAAGTATTTTTTTAATATTTTATAATATTTATAATGGTTGACATCAATAAATGTGTGCATTACGTGTGTTACCTTATAACTAATAAACATTATTCAAAATTGTTATATGATGTATTTACTTTTACTTAAATTAAAATTGCTACTTTGTACAGTACCAAATAAGTTTTACTTCAATCGCATGTGAACTTTACGCGCACTTTTTTTATTTCTTGTTTATCTACAAGAGTTTATACAATTATATTTGCAGGTTGGTCTTCTAATTCATATTATTCATTATAGTTAGGGGCTTACGTTCTGTAGCTCAAACTATTTCTTATGAAGTTAGATTAATTATTTTAATAATGTCTTTATTATTTTTAATTGAGAGTTTTAGACTAGTTGTATTTAATATTTTTCAAAAATATATTTGATTCCTATTTATTTTACGGCCTTTAGGTTTAATTTATTTTGTTTCTAGTCTAATCGAACTTCGTTTGATTTTTCGGAGGGTGAATCAGAATTAGTTTCTGGGTTTAATGTAGAATATGCTGCAGAAAATAAATTTTGATATTATTGTAAATGTATGGTCTTCAATGACCACAAGTGCCTATTAAACAAATTGCATAACATACGTTTTCGTCAGGAAAGGGCGTTTAACACTTTCGGGACGGCACCGATTTCAAAACAATCTCAAAACTCGATTCTCATTGTGTATGTTACGCAATTTGTTTGATAAAAATTTGTGGTCATTGAAGGACATACATTTATAATATTAATTTATTTTGGATTATTTTATAAAGAATGATGACGTTCGAAACAATTTCCAAAATGCATAGCTGGTTGATTTTGACATGTTTTACAATAAAATGTTGTTCGCCGCCTTCCTTCTAGTGCTTTTCTCTCAGAACAGACAATACAATCCCTTTTTTTTCTATCGTATTTAGAATATGCCACTGATTAATCAGTATATTTGTTCATTTTTTTTGGTTGCCATAATGGTTTGTTTTTTCTATTATATTGTCTAATAATTCATTTGTAAAATATAGGGCAAAATAATCTATTGGATGTCTATATTGCTTGATATTTGTAGTCGGGGTGTTTGTTGATGGTGTCAAACTCGATTATTGAAGGAGAATCGGCACATTCGCTAATGTCTTTCCGCTCTTCATTTAATTTGTCGAAGTTCTTCTTTTTGTTGGTTGGATAATAACATCATCACATTCATCACTATCGTCGGTGCAAATAGCAGTTTCATAAAATTTGTCTGTATGATTGTCTATTTGGAACTCATCTTCACTACCGCTGCTTAATTCACAAAATTTACCAGTCGTTTTGCCATATTTCGCCGCTCGGTTATTTTTAATATTTAAAAAAAGACTATATAGCAAAGAAAATGGCTAAAATTTGTACTAAAATAAATTAAAATTATTTTCAAAATATAACACTGTTTATCAATGCTATATGTGATTTATTCAACTTTTCGATTCAAACTGAGTCATGTTTATAAAATAGCCAGTGCCTGAAAGAGTATGTTTGTCCACTCAGGTGGACAGCCATCCCCAAAGTGTTAATTTCTGATTGTTTTTGAATTCGTGCCGGGAGCAAAGGGCTAATATAGTCGCCATCTCGGATTTACAACATGTCAACAGAACTATTCCTTTTCATTCCTGGATACCTGTCTCTTTTCTTCCACAAAATTCCTTGACCCATGTTTTGATTTAACGTCAGTCTTGTTCCAGTCGAGTTCTAGTGTAGTTCGTCTAGCTTTGCTGGTTCAGTCCTATTTAGTATACTTTTTGGCTAGTTCAATTTTTGTGATCATCTTCGGTGTTTCAATTTGGTTCCGTTTTGGTGTTCGTACTTCCGTCCAAGTTGTTAGTTTTGTTGCTTATTGACTCTGTGAATTCCTTCAAGTTTACCTTTTTTCATTAGAGTTTTATTTAGTTATTATTTGTATTTAGTTTATTTATTCCAAAAAATGTTTTAGTTTTTAAATTATGCAGTTCATTGTGTTCAAGATTAGTCATCAGAGATTCTGAGAGTTTTATTATTCATAACCAAGACTGCACCACTAAATGTAAGTATAACATCAACGTTATAGTAAGAGATTGAATAAAATTCTATGATTCGGCGAATATATTTCTTTATTTTTTAAGGCAGCCGCTTGCTTGTACTTATTAAAATAAAAAGTGTTACAATAAATGCCATTTGTTGGTCAAAAATGATCATTAGACATGTGCACATCAAGCTATCAAATATTTTCTAGAGGTTTTGGTATTTTGCTCTGAGGCAAGTTACATGAACTTTCCGATATGTGTAAATAATCGACTTAATTATTAAAAAATGAGATAATTTGTGAGTGATTAAAAGTATTCTGAGTGGATTTAATACACATAATTGAAAACGAACGAACACGTTAACTCGGAGTATTTTCTAAAAGCAAATTTTCAAAAATCAATAAATATTATAATTGAACCAATATCCGTAGGACTTGATAGGAATGATTTGGTATATGTTCATTAGGACCAAGTACTATATCCAATACCAAGTAAATCATCTAATTTTAATTTTAACAAACGTCAAAAAGCTACTCATTTTCTCAAACTTTGATGATTTTTTAAAATTAAACTACTTCTCGTAAGGCCATAATATTTCTGGGAGTTCTATAACACCATGATAAATATTGCCAAAAAAAGTTTCATAAAAATCGGCTTAAATTTTTTCTCAACAGGCAATTGAATTACAAGAAAAGGCCTCGGTAGATTTTCATTTAAAACTAATCAGTATCATTCCCAACTAATATCTTTAAAACAGTTTTTGGTTTTTTAAAATCGATTCGGTAGTATGAGCTTAAATGTGGACGAAAAGTTTAACACTTTTTTTTTCCAAATTACAAAGAAACGGCTCAGCAGATCGTCGCATAAAACTGACAAACTATAATCCTCATCGAGATACATCACATGGCTTTTAAATTTCTGAAATCGGTACAGGCGTTTTTGAGCGATGAAAGGTCTAATTTTGACAAACGCCAAAAAACGATACTAATTTTTGCAAACTTTGACGAATTTTCAAAATTAAACAAGTTGTCGTAGGGCCGTGATATTTTAGTATGATCTCTAGAAGACTATGGTTTCTACCGTCAATAAAATAACTAGTGGGGTGTATGGCATCTTGCCTTAAGGCAAATTACTGAAACTTACGTACCGAACGAAATGTTCGAGGAATATTGAATGTTTTCAGATAGATTATTATAAATATTGTAACATTGTCTAATATTTATAAGAATTATATAAACTGAATTGCAAAGTTGAAATTATTTGTTTAAAGTATATTAGAACTTCACATAGTCAGAATTAAAAATAAAATCTAAATTATTTTTGACAAAAAAAAAAAATCTAAAAAAAATTGAAAAAAAAAATTTGAAATAATTTTTTTTCCAAAATCAAATATTTTGTTAAAACAGGCAGAAAGTTTTTTGCACAACTGAAAATTTTTGCACATTTAGCTCGGCACTTCTCCCAATTATTACTAATTGAATGTTTTTTAGATCATTCAAATCGGATTCTCCGTTCTCTCAAAAACTCGATTTCTATTTTCCGCACTCTTTACTCTTTATCTCCGTTACTGCTGGAGCTGCCTTTGCCAAAAACTAATCAGCACATCTCCCTATCAATATATTCCTATAGGAATCGAAAGTTTTTTGAACCATTCAAATCGTTTGATCCGTGCGCCCGAAAACGTGACCGAAAAATTGTATACGTACATACATACATACACTCACACATCCATTTTTTCTTAGGTATGCCAAAATGTTCAGAAACCTTCAAAACGTCGAGAAATGCAAAAATTTTCATTTTTGATTTTCGGCCCATTGATTACTGTAACTACCCTACGAGAAGTTAATAATAAAAATCGACGAAAAAAATTTTTTCAACACTTTATTACAAGAAAACGGCCCGGCCGATCTCTACCAAAAACTAATCAGGTCGATTCCCAACCAATATCTTTCGAACGCTTTTTGAATTTTTAAATTTGAGTCAGAATTGCGGGCTAAAATGTGTACGAAAATTTATTCACTCTCATTCGATTCAGAATGGCTTGAAACGCCGAGAAAACGTAAAATTAGCGAATCGGATTTTTTTATGAAAACATAAACTACTCATTCGGGAAGTTAAAAATACAAATACAAATTTTGGTAACATTTCTATGGCTTCGTAGGAAGATTTATTAGACTGCGGCTCTTACGCGCTTCGATATCTTGTCTCTGAAACAGCTACGCCTGCGATAGCTTTGAAAAAAAAATCAAAATATTCACAATATATATATATATATATATATATATATATATATATATAAATTATTTCACTGTATAAAGAGTCAATAATACATTTAATTATAATGATTGATTACTTGATGAGATTTATTACTCCTTTAACTATTTCTGAGTTCACATAAATTTTATTCATGTAATTTAAATACAGAAAACAAAATTGTATGACTTCAACATATTACTTTCTAAGTAATTTAAATTTTGATAACTTGAATAAGCACTAAATATTATACAAGTTTTATGAAGGGTAGGAATAATTCTTATTTACATATTTTGATACAAGTTTTTTCATAAAATTTATATTGCATATTAAATTTAAAAACTATATAAATATAAAGGTTTTTATCAACCTTAAATTGATAAGTGTCTATAGATGTAGTTACTATTAAAAAATAGAATCATCATTCAAGTTTTGTAACTTTAATATAATCGAATAATTCAAAATATATCCCATGATTCAAATCAGGTTTAGCTTCTATCTTCTGTTTGAAAAATAATGACAATTTTGCACTATGTCACTGCAATAATGTCACAATCAAAAAATTTTAATATGTTACTATTTTATTAAAACTCCTACCCTTTGATTTTCGAGATTTAAAACATTTTGGACATTCATATTTCTGCTTATGACTATTCATATGTAATTGAAAAGATGCAAATTTTTCAAATTGCCTTCCACAGCAAACACATTTGAAAGGATTTGGTAATAACATATCAATTTCCCCTTTAACAAATTCTGTTGTCTCATCGTTACATTTGTAACAAACTAAAATTCGTTGATATTTGAAAAGGCTGCAATTGTTCTGTAAATCAGATTCATAAATAATTCTACAATCTTCACATACTTTCTTTGATCTAGATGTATGTTTGAGATCATGTATTTCTAAAGAACTTGGAACTTTAAATTTAGCACAGCACACTCTGCAATCGGTATATAAACTGAGCCCACCCTGTTTTTGATATTTTGTACAGATATCACAGTCAACATCAGATTCACTTTCAATAAATATAATATCTTTATTACCGCCCTTATTAATAGAATATGAGAACGCTGAGAACATTTTGAAACAATTCAAATCTGAAGTGGGTTCATTCAAGTCCACGTCCATAGTACTACAATTATTCATTTCTGTTGTGGCAGGTATTGTTTCTTCTGAGGGCTTCTTATATGACGCTGCACTGCCATTTTCATGTATTTTTTCAACTTTCTTCCATCTAATACCTGAATTATAATCATCTATTCTTAAAAATTGTGATTGTTTCGTACTACTATTCTTGGGTTGCTCTTTAGGACATATTTTGCTAATAGATTTCATTTGATTAACTTCCTCCAAACTTTGAGAAAATATTTCTTTATACACATCTAAACTTTCATTTGAAATTTTCTTGCATTTTAAGTTTGGTAGATCGAGATTCATTTCTGTTGGTGAAATTGATACTGAAAGCAGAAAAACAAACATTATTACTTTCAAATAGTCCAATTTAAACAGAGCAAAAAGTGTGAACTCTGATAGAATATATACATATATATATATATATATATATATATATATATATATATATATATATGCTGAGGGTGTTTAAATTTGATGTTGAAATGTCTGATTAATTTCTTGGAGGGCGTTACATCAAGTAAAAAATAAATAAAATGAAAATTGAAACATCTTTATTTTTCCATACATTTCAACGTAAAAGAAAAAGAGACGTTAGGAAAATTAATCTTGCCTTAGATGAGCTACATCTCGTTTATTTGATTCCTAAAAATATTTTATAAAGAAGTAATCACAGAAGTAGTCACACTGTCGCCTCGGATGTCGTCTAAGCAACATTTTATTCTTTACACTAATTGTAAGAAATTTATTCTAAAAATATATATATAATTGTTGATTTAAACTGACAAGAATTGCTCTATCAGTACTATTCCACTGAAGATGACATAGAATAATATGTTGACATGTCTAGAATACAATTTTTTAATTGATGTATTGCCCTGAACATCAAATTGTTTGAAATATTTTAACATATATACATATACATATACATATATATATATGATAGTTTTGTCGACGTTGATACATATTTGAAATAATTTTGCAGCCCAATCGTCAAATTAAAAAAAAAAATTAAATAGAAAAATGATTTATTCCATTAAACGTTTCGTAATAAGTAATCTAAAAAACATATTACATATAGAATATTACATATATGTATATATATATATATATATATATATATAATTGGGTAATTATAAAATTGGGTAAAAATTAAATCAAATATATACATATATTTATATACATACAGTGGTATCCCGACAAACAAGATTCGTAACCACTCTCATATGTTGAATCGTATAACATTGAATTGCCATTTATTCGTTCCAGCACTGTGGTTTTTTGAATATTAAAAATAAATTATTTTTATTAGTTTAATTTTTGTTTTTTCATGTTGATTCATGATATTGCGTATTAATAAAACGCGTATTCAACATATAACTGTATCAATCAATATTTATGTATAGTAAAAATGTCAAAGTTTGTAACTCGAATTTTGCTCGTATGTCGAAGCAACAAATCGCTCTTTTGACGACTTGTAAGTCGGAGTGTGTGCATATATATATAATACACCTAAGTCTGTTTTTACACGGTCTTTTTGTACACGGTTTGAAAATTGAATATTTTTAATTTTTTACACGATTTTATTCCATTTAGCACGATTTGAAATTTTATGTACTTAAATTTTTTTGTCAAATTTAATTTTTGCGATGTATGTTCATATCACAAAAAAGTACTTATGAAAGAAAAAAGTCTGAAACCATCGATAGTATCGATAGTTTGCGAACACTAGCTTAAAGATTTAAGTGAATTCCCCTTTAGCGCGTACAAACAATTTTTACTGGTCAAAGCAAATGTGAATAGCTCTAATTTAGGGGAATACCCTAAAAATTCTTGTTTTTCACTATTTTTAATTGGTTTTAGAGAGTAGGACAAATCACCCATTTTTGTATAAGATCAATGTCTTTTTTTACACGTTTTTTTTTTTACACGGCTTCTTCTGGAACCAATCTCCGTGTAAAAACAGACTTAGGTGTATATATATATTATATATAATGCACACACTCCAACTTACAAGTCGTCAAAAGAGCGATTTGTTGCTTCGAAAAATAAAATTATACATATATATATATATATATATATATATATATATATATATAATTTTATTTTTCTGAACTAAAAGTGCCCTTTTTTCTGAAGAAACTACTAGATTTCCATATTTAATGAAAAATTAAATAAATTAAGTAACAAAGGTGATGTCTATTTCAACAAAAACAAAATCATAAATAAAGTTATATTTGTATATATTTCTTGTGATTCACAAAATCATTTAGAAACGTATGTCTGAATTAAACCGAATAAAAATAGAATTAGAATTATTAATTAGAAACTACCCAACCCAATTTTTAGTTTAAGATTTGCAAATTATACAAAATGAAATATTTGATTAATTGCTTCAAAGTCCAACTGTGCTATTTTAACATAAAGCCGCAAAAGTTTACCATATATTCATTGATAACTTTCATTCCATATTAAGATAAATGAAGCCATACATGAAACAAACCTCCTGATTCTATATTTATCTTGTTTCTACTAATAAGCTCTTCGAGAACGGAATCTTTTTTAATGATACAAACAGCTTTGGATATTTTTTCATCAGCTGATATATATCTTTTGGTTTCTTGATTGTTACTAATAAACGCTTGATGTTTTGAATTTTCTTCATCGTCAGTATCTGATATATTTATGCACTCTGATTCATCATTTAAACATCTATCAACTGTGGATTCAGGTTTAGCAATCTGCAGGATTTTATTTTCTTTACTAAGAACTATAACATTTATACAAAATTCTAGATAATTGATTATTTTTATGCTAATTCTAAGCCTTTTATATTTACAAACCTTTAGCACTATCTATAGTATCAACTTCGGTATTATTCGATTTACTATTCATAGTATTGTTAAAATCAGATTCACATGTTCTTTCATCAACAACGTTTTCCTCAATAGCAGGAGTATTTGAATGATTTGCATAGTTATTTTCATTAGTGGATTCAGAATAAAGATCAAGTTTGTTATTATTTGTACTCGAAACTTGTTTGTCATCAGCAAAACTTGATGATACTGAAGCACCATAAAAGATCAAACAATGATCAAGATAAATAATAATACATTTTTATTTTATTTAAAAAAAAAACAATATTTATGCAAAATCCTAGTTTCTAACTAAAAATCTAATTTGGAATAAAAATGAAATTTCTAATATCTACAAACCTTTTTCACAACCTATAGTTTCTGTTCTGTTTATGTTCAAATTATTTGAAGAACTTGAATCTGCTTTAATCATGCTAGGGACAGCGTTCCCATTTGCTAATTTTTCACAACCATTATTTATGATGCTATCTACAAAATTTTGTATATGTGTCATTTCATCATATACGCACACTGCACCTGAAGACTCTGACTCCGCCTGCGACTGTGTGTCTGTGTCTTTTGTAGGTGCATCATGCTCTGAAACCGTTTCAGCGTTATATAAATATATCTTATATAAAATTAATTTACTTCTGAAAGGTCATTATTTACAAACCTTCATTTATAACTTTCTCATCCATGAGATTTAACAATTTTTCATTGTCTGAAATCATTTCTTTTGAATTTTTTGTTGATTCTGTTTTGTCACTTGTGCTCGCTGCTATTAAAGAGGCTTTGCTGACACCAATATCTAAATTTAAATTTAGATCTCTAATTATTACAAAAAAACATATATAAACAAAACCTGATCATTGCCCTTATCTCATATTTCTAAGAATCATAAAACAGTTTAAAACTGAGTTGCAAAGTTAAAATTATTTATTTCAAGAAAATGAGTGAATTTTAGAATTTCTGAAATTTTGAAATTTGCAGAAAAGCTTTTATATTATTTAAAAATTTGGGAAATTTGCAGAAAACTAAAATTTGATCAAAAATCAAAAATTTCTAAACTGCAAAACCTGTCTTCTTGTATGAGTTTTTTTGGAATTTTTTAAAAAAAATTCAAAAGTTTGTAACTTCCAAATCTGTCTTAGCTAAATGTGTTTTGAATCATTCTAATCAAATCATCCGTTCTCTTAAAAACTGCTATGTTTTGCACTCTTCGCTACGTATCTCCGAAACGGTTGGATTTACCTTGTCCAAAAATTAATTAGCAAATCTTCCCATTATAAGGAAACGAACGGTTTCTGATTCATTCTAATAGGATGATAGATGCTCTCAGGAAAAAAATTCTGCATACATACATTTTTTCCAAGGTATATCAAAATGTTCAGAAACATTTGAAATTTTTAACCTTTTTATAATTACAATAATTTACCCTACTTTACTATATTTTTTAAATTGAACCATAATCTACTTGTGCAAATTTAAAATATTCAATGCATGTACCACTACCAACCTTTATCATTTCCCTGTTCCATAGTTTTATCAACTTCATTTGATAAATTTTCATTAGCAATTTCAAGGTCCATGTTTAAATCATCATTTTCCTCAGTTGTATTTACTTCGACGGTACTTTGGATTTTCCTACATACAACGTTTTCTGAATCTTTGCCATCATTTATAAATTCAGATACAGATTTATGTAAACCGTCAGAAGAAACTGTAACACAAAGTATCATTTATTAGCTTGTCTATAAAAGTTTAAATAGACAATAAATATTATGTATTTCAAATTTAATTTTAAAATCATAGTATAGTATTGGTTTTCAAACCTTGCTCTCCATTAGCAACAGCAGTATTGTTAGTTGTATCCTCAAATAAACTATTCTCAGTGGTATTTGAATTATTTGCATTACTAGTTTCATTATTTGCTGCAGGTACGTCATCAATTAAACTTGGAACTTGCATCTGTCCACCTGAATTAGATACTAAATGTAAAATTAAAAACTTTAATCAGAATGATGAAAAGAAAAAATATACTCGAGAGTGCAGATGTACTCTTTTGATTTAATTTTTTTTCCCAAACCTTTGTCTGTGGTTTCTTCTTCATCATCAATTAATATAACATTTGTTGAACTTTGAATGTTATTTTGATTCACGTTGTTATTTACAGCTTCACTTTTATTTCCAAATGCATTTAATTCTTCTATGTGTATGGCTTGATTGTTGTTTCCTGCTTTCTCTGAAATAGTGGTTAGGTTTGTTATTATTGAAATTAAAAATGTTCATATTTTTAAATGTCACTCTGAATTTTCAACTAATGCACCTCTAAATTTTGCTGCATTAGAAATTGCAAGCTTTTCCAATGAGACATTTTGTTTAACAGTACGTGTTGAATTGTTTTTTTGAGTATTATCTTTGGATTTTTCATTAGCTGTTGCAATGCTCTTTTTATGTTCTATATCATTCATCTTTAAATCCTTGCTTAGAATATATACCAGACGAATATTTTGATCGTTTGTACTTGAAATATTTTCTTGAACCTCATTTTGATTGCCAGCAAGCTTTGGATTTTCTATAATTCTGCAAATATCTTCAAAATTTTCTGTAGTTCTTAAGGAATTTTCACTTTCTTGTACCAATTTAGGTTCTGAAACATATTGAACTTAAATTAAACAAATATGGTAAACATTCTACAATTTGACAGCATTGTAGGACAGTGATAGAATCCTAAAAGACTAATGATATAGAAACAAATAAATCTTAGTTTTGTATTTCATTTTCTCACATTAAAATCTTTAATGATTTTATAATTTTGTTTTATGATATACATTTTTTTGTTAATTCTATGTTCAGTATCAGACTGAAGTTCATGTCTAAGAAACTTATACATATGTGTATGATACTTTTATAACACGAACTCACTTTAACAGGGTCTCAGAATTGAGTATTCGTAAAATTACTGCACAGTAGATCAATAATCATTATAAATCTAGTGCAAAAGATACCATTTGATATTTTTCAATCAAGTCTTTACGCTCTATACTGAAAAAAGCCTAGACCTTTCGAACAGCTAGCCATATTTAATAAATATAGATCCTCAAATGAAATGAACACAAAATTTAAGAGACATTTTTATAAATGTTTGTTATATGAAGGAATTTATAAGGATCTTTTCACTAAAGGCAAGCAATCAAAAATAATAGGTTGTTTATAAATAAAATAGAGATTGGTAATAAATTATATAAAAATGTTCAGAGGATGAAAATATCTCGCCAAAAAGAAAACTGTCACTTTGAATAAAACGTACTTAATTAAATATTAATTAAATAACTTAAATTAAATATTATTTAATTAATTGAACATGTATTACTTCTTAAAAAAAGTTAGCAACATATTTATCTTTATCATAAATATATAAAATCAATTTTTTTATAATTTTAGGTACATAACCTGTCATTTTTAATAGCTCTTTGCTCCGTATAACAGGGTACCTTTTCAGAATGCAATTTCTATGATATACAAAAGACCCTATGTTATAGTTATGATGTTATATATATATATATATATATATATATATATATATACATAAGCAATAATAATAGTAAAACAATCGTACCTCTATTTTGAGTATAATTTGGTTTAGAGTCCAATTCATTTTTCTTTTGAGTTGTATATTTTCGTTTCGGTAATTTTTCAGAGCTAGAATCTGAACCTTTTCTTTTAATTATTTTTTTATTTTTGGGTAATGCTATTTCTCTCGAATCTTCATCTTTGCCAGATTCCAATGATTTCTCTGAATTTGAACAATGAGCTTCTTTTTGATCAGCATTTTCTGGAAACCTGCCATTTAACAAGTCTTCAGTAAAAGTAGCTAAAAATCTAACAAGAGGAGTATCTAATAAATCCATGACTGAAAAATATTTATTATTAACGACTGAAAAATATTTATTATTGCGACTTGCTGCGGCGTATTATCATTTTAAATAACAGTTAACAACACAAACTTAATTAATAACACAAACAAGTTTTATTAACTTTTTTGTTGATACACAGAACAATATTATTTATTTTCATTAGAAATAAATATTTTTATATCATTGTTTGACAGTTTTATTGTATACAAGCCGCACGGAACTTTATCGTAATAATGACCATTTTGTTGGCAACATTGTTTGTATGGCAAGATACAAATTATGCATAATATATCCATTAATGATTAAATAAACTTCTCAATACGTGTAAATAAAAATGAATATAATGAATAAAATGAACATGTAAATTTAGTAACATTTTCTACTATTTATTTAGAAAATGAATATTTTACTTTGCAGTTGCTCAGACTGTTTGTTTAAGATGCAAGAGTTTCATCAGTTTCATTCTGTGGCAAAATACTAAATAGTTATTTTTAATTGTTAAATAATTGATGCATAATTAATAATAATATGAGTTTACTAAAACATATAACTTATATTATATTATATATAGATATTAAAACTTCATATTATGTGCTGCCATCTTGCTTCTGAATTTACAAATATATTCTATTTTGTCGCCTCTGGCAACACTATTTCATTCCTACAGTTGGCTAACTTGTTTAAAACTAAATGAAAATGTTTGACAACAGACTTGATCAGTTGCTGTCAGTTTGCGGTTGTGGTCGGGTTGCTGCTTTTATACGTGATTTTAGTGCAAATATACTCTCATATATATTTTCCTTCGTTTATAAAATAATCGTGAGGATTTTCTGAAAACCGACTTTGAAATGTGTAATCATGTGTGACGTGATCTTGTTTTCAAGTGATATTGTCGTGTGACAAATGTTTTTCTTAGAAAATATATTTATGTTTGGATTGCATGCAGCATCCTGAAAATGACAGACGCTCTTCGTTCCAATGACGGTAAATAATAATAATTATTGAATTATAGATTTATCATTAAAGTGTTTAGATTTAAGAGAAAATTATTTAGTGAAAATTGCAATTGTGAAGGGGTGGTTTCTCAAAGATGAAATACGCTTGCGCGATATGCATGAGTCTTTAAGCTAAAAGTTATTTTTAGTTTCATTCATAAAATACGAGGAATATAAGTAATAAGCAATTAATTATTTTAGCATCCACAGTTTACATTGAACACAACTTGACGATAAATGTCTTAAATAAACATTTTTACCAAATAACGAATTTTAATTGCGTCATTATGGATTAATATTTCTTGACCTGCAATGTTATTCATATAAGAAACAATAATTAAGACTTACAATTTATTATTTCTTAACCCTACGAACTCTTTGTGCATATTATGAAAAAATCAATATTTTTGCCATGCTTTAAGCATTGTGTCGATCAGCTGGGCCGACGGCTTCGGTATTTTGTCTGGGGGATAATTTTGTACGTGCAATGTTCGAATATAATTAAAATAGTATACTTGTTTTTCAAAGTATTATTATACTTTTACAGTCATAAACAACTAATATTTATTATTAATTAATATGGAACCCATTACTTGAAAATGGTTTAATAATGAAATACGAAATTATGTGAGTTTAACACCCTTAACGTACTGTACTATCAATTAATATATTAAAACTAATTTATTATAAATTAGTTCTGTTCACTTGTTTTAAGATTTACTTTTCTCTGGTGTAGTCTTTTCAACAGGATTCATACTTGTGTGAAAATCAAAATTCCTGGAACTTCCCGTACCTTAATGAAATATACGAGGAATATTAAAGGTTTTCAAATAGATTATAATACTGTAACTTACATGTGTTAACAGAATACTAAATAAACAAAACTTAATCAATCGAATTAAAAAAAATGAAAGACGTTGTCTAATATTTTTATAAGAATTGTTAAAACTATTTATTTGAAGTATAAAAGTTTTTCGATATTCAAAAAATTTTTCCCCCAAACGCAATCGTTTCATCAACACAAGCAGAAAGTTTTTTGAATAATTCAAATCGGATGCTTAGTTCTCTCAAAAACTGCCATTTTTTGCACATTTAGCTCGGTATCTCCGAAACGGCTGGGCCTGCCTTTGCCAAAAACTAATCACCACTTCTTCCCGTCATTACGAATTGAATGTTTTTTTGGATAATTCAAATCGTATGCTCCGTTCTCTCAAAAACTCGATTTATATTTTCTGCACTTTTTACTCCGTATCTCCGAAATGGCTGGACCTGCCTTTTCCAAAATCTAATCAGCACATCTCCTTATGAATAGGAATCAAATGTTTTTTGAACCATTCAAATCGGTTGATCCGTGCGCCCCAAAACGTGAAAAATTGTATCCATTCACACACACACATCCATTTTTTCTGAGGTATGCCAAAATGTTCAGAAACCTTCGAAACGTGAAAAAATGTAAAAATTTTCAATTTCGATTTTTGGGCGATTACAATAACTTACCCTAAGGGAAGTTAATAAACTGGTGGTACATGGCATTGTGCCTTAACGAAAATTGGTGGTACTTCTCCCACTGCATTTTTTTTAGATTTTGAATCTTTTGAGAATTTTGAATTTTTTTACTAGCGGTTAGGCATTAGAAATCTTGATACAGAAATCATAGAAATATAAACAAAGTTTGTACATACTAATAAAATTTATAAAACATCTGATAAAATGATGTGCATATTTGCATGCAATTTTTTTAACAATTTTATCAGATCTTGGATTTTAAATCTCTCTAAAACTGAATTGTCATTAGTTGCTCTTTTGGCTCTCATGTATCTTATAAAAGGCTGGACCCGTCTTTGTCAACAACAACTAATCAGCACGTTCCCTCATCAATAGGAATCGAATGTTTTTTTAAATCAATTTAATCACTTGATCAGTGCTCTCGAATTCGTGGAGGCAAATTTGTATTTGCACATACACATACATATTGCACACACACACATGCACATAAAATCAGATATCTTTGAAACGTAAAAATTAGCAAAAATTTTCATTTTCGAGTTTTTGCGATTACTTTAACTTACCCTACGGGGAAGTTAATAAATTATATTAGTAGAAGTTTTACTAGTGTTACTTTTACTTTTAATAAATAATATAATTCAATCAGGGTGATTTTTAATAAGTTTTTATATTAAAAAATTGCAATATTATTAAAAAGTTTATGATTTCAATTACGATCTGTATATTATGGAGATATTTAGCAACTGTTTTTCATCTTTAGTTCAGCGTTTAGTTTGTTTGGACCAATGATAGACTTAAAAAAAATCTATTTACTTATATTAATTCTATTAAGTAATGAAATCTCAATAACATATTTATACAATTACCCTGAAAAATTATTTAACGCGTACGTTACAAATTTATTTATTTCAGCTTTCAGAATTGACTAAAGTATTTTTTTCAACCATGTGTTCAAATTCTTTAAGTTTTACATGTGCACTTAAGGACGATTTTGTACAATTTTTACCAGATAATTTTACCTGTTTTTGGTAAGGTCCATTTAATCTTCCGCAAACACTTGAAACATGTGTACAATGTGCTTAGAGTTTGTTCTTAGAAAACGAAGAGGACTTTCCGCTGATTGTGTGATTCATAGAAATCCAAGCGTTTCTCAAAACATAACTTGTTTCACTATTGCGATTCTAGGTAATTAATGGCTGGAGATACATTTATAAAATTGTGGTTCTGATGATTAATTTGCAAAAATAATCTTCGTAAACTTTAATAGGAGCTAGGTGGAAGTGGTGTTGTGGCATAAGGCAAGTTATGAGTTTCCTGATATGTATAAATTATTATGATGATAAGATTATTTTTTAGCTATTTAGATGGAAATGTAAACTATTTATTTCAAAAACAATGTTTTCGCATTTACTAAAAATAAATCAATGTGATATCCAATTGATATCTTTCATACAGATTTAAATATGTGTGATTGTATTAATTATACCATGTTTATAACCATGGTTCTCAACCTGAGAAGTGCGCCCCATCAGGGGGTGTACAACTATTTCCTATATGAAAAATGAACGAAAATATAATTATTTTTTAATTTCCCGAAGCAGAAGTTTGTTTTCATCAAAAAATCCGATTCGCTAATTTTGTTTTCTCTACGTTTCAAGCCATTCTGGATCGACTGAGACTAAATTTGTGGTTTTGTGTTGAAACGGCTGGACCGATTTCAAAAATTTAAAAGCCATTCGATTTATCTCGATGAGGACTAGCTTTTATCAATTTTGACGATCAGTCAATCCATTTCTTTTTAAATAACAGAAAAGTGAAATTTTTCTTGTCCACGTTCTAGCCCGCAATTTGGAATCGATTTTATAAATTCAAAAACCTTTCGAAAGATATTGGTTGGGAATAGTGCTGATTAGTTTTTGGTAAAGATCGGCCGGGCCGTTTTCTTGGAATAAAGTGTTAAACAATTTTTTTCGACGATTTTTATGATTTTTTTAACGGTAGATACCACAGTCCTATAGATCTCTACTATATTTTTGAAATTAACAGTTGAAAATTTTAATTTAATTGATTAAGTTAATTCTTACACATTTCGGGAAGTTCATGCCACATGATGGGTTATTGATTTGCTTATTTTTCTTATTTTTGGAAAGAAATTTGCTTACTTTTGCTGACGAAGGGGAGGGGGGGTCAATAATTGTAATAAATCTGCTTACGTAATACTTGAACGATCCCTAAGACTAAATGCCACTTTCAACTAGTTATGCATATTTTTATACAATATTGCAATTAATTTGTAGTCTGATAATATCAGTTCAGTATTTATGAAATAAAATTCTTGAAAATATTAAGGAGGCCTCAACATTTTTTTGTTTAGAACGGGGGACGGAGACGTTGCGAAAAAGGTTGGAAACCACTGAATTATAGTTAACGACCACATGCTGAAAGAGCGGCCAATTATTCCGAATTTCTATGATTTTTTATAATTAAACCAATTTTTGTTAGCCTCTAATACTTCATGATCGAAATATATAGTCTTCAGCTTACAAAGTTTCATTAAAATCTTAATATTAAAAAATTAACAATTACAAAGAAACGACTCGATTACCGAAAACCATTTTTGAATTATCAAAATTAGTTGTGTCACAATGATATTGTTCTTTATTTGCTCCTTACTCTTACTCTTGTTTAATATAATGTTATAACATAATATAATGTTTTTATTTTTGAATTAGAAAATTAAAGTTTTATAATTGATATTAATGATGCCAACCAAAAAGCTATTTTGTAGAATTAACTTAAGCTGTTTAAACACAAGCTTTATATAATATATTTCATACTATATATATAAAATAACTTTAAAGTAATACTTTGGTTTATTTAAGTTTCATTATTATTAAAATAATTAGATATAATACAATTTTATATATGTATATATAGTACACTAACTCATATTTCCAACATCCAAGGTGTATATCCTAAAAGCGCAAATTATTGGGGCGAATGAGCCAATTATTGCAAACTTTGATGAATTTTTATATTTGAACCACGTTTCATAAGCGTCTTTGAAAATTTCGTTAAGACCAAAGTATATGGCCCTCGGCGTACAAAGTTTTATTTTAATCCTTTTTTTTTTAACAAAGGCTCAACCGTTCCTTGCCGAAAACAAATCAGCAACTATTTAACTAATATATTTCGAACCATTTTTGCATTATCAAAATTGATTCAAGATTTTTGGTAACAACATGGATCAACAATTTTGCACTTAATTGATAATTTAAAAAAACGACTCGTAAATTGTTAAATAAAATTGACCAACGTGAATCCTTATAGAGTTTCATCAAAAGCATTTCAGAACATTATTCAATATAAATAATATTGTCTCGAATATGAATTTTGTAGATATATGAAAATTTAAGAATAAAGCCGAGACAAATTCCATGAATTTTGATAACTGTTTGTTTGATCTTAAAAATTTCAAAAAAT